AGCTGAGGGGGGGGGGGGTCCCCAACACTGTGTGGCCCAGAGAACCCGAGACTCAGGGCCCAAGCAACATCACATTCTTAGGCCCTTGCATTAACCTGCCAGCCTAGTTGATTTAAAAATGAAAAATCAACCCAGGGCCTCCGAAGTCAGCCAAAATCAAAATACGCTATATTTACATGTTCTCTTCTTAGCTTTCCTCTCAGTTTTAGAAAAATATCCCCATCAGAAGTGAACTTATTGGGCGCATATGCTGCCTGAGAACAAGTGCTGCTTGTGCCCACATGGCCGAGCACATGTGGTGCTCAAACATGTGTTGCCCGCATCTCCCCTCTTGAGATGTGTACTTTCATGCTTTCATGTCTAATGCTGGGATGTGTGTAGGGGCTCTCTCCGCCCTTGAAGAAGCTCATGTTCTCTTGAGTGCATTACTCTCTCTCTCCCTCCCTCACTCTCTTCCCTCCACACCTTCAAAAGACCTCCAAATAAAATCTGTTTTACTTCAAAAAATAAAAATAAAAAATAAAAAAAAGAAGCGAACTTTTTTTCTCAGAGCTAATCTCTAATTTCTGATTTATCTGATGATTTGCACTTCTTTTTTTTTAAATTTTTACAAAAATATGGAACGCTTCACAAATTTGCGTGTCATCCTTGCACAGGGGCCATGCTAATCTTCTCTGTATCGTTCCAATTTTAGTACATGTGCTGCCAAAGCGAGCGCTAATCTGCACTTCTTAAAACATTTTTCAGTTACAGAAAAACAATTATGCAGGCAACATAATTTTTACCACTTTACTTACTTCAGTGAATTTCTTTCTTTTGGCTTCTGGGGTCACACCTGGTGATACTCAGGGGATACTCCTGTCTCTGCACTTAGGAATTACCCTTGGCACTGCTCGAGGGACCATACGGGATGCTGGGGATTGAACTTGGGCCGGCCGAGGGAGTCAAGGTAAATGCCTTAACCAATATACTATTTCAGCCCCCTACTTTACTACTTCGGCTGGAGCGATAGCACAGAGGGTAGGGCATTTGCCTTGCACGCGGCTGACTGGGTTTGATTCCTCTGCCCCTCTCAGAGAGCCAAGCAAGCTACCTAGAGTATCCTGCCCACACGGCAGAGCCTGGCAAGCTCCCCGTGACGTATTCGATATGCCAAAAACAGTAACAAGTCTCACAATGGAGACGTTACCGGTGCCTGTTGGAGCATATCGATGAACAACGGGAGGACAGTGCTACAGTGCTACTTTACTACTTCAGACACCAACTATAAGAGCCAGAAGTATTTTTGTAAAGTACAAAAGTACTTAAGGTTGGCACAAAGCCATCCTACAGGGAAGATTCAACGACAGTTTTACTTCACTAAATGCTACATACTTCAATTCTGTTTTATCAATCTTAAAAGTATGCAGAGTAGGGGCTGGAGCAACAGCACAAAGGGTAAGGCATTTGCCTTGCACTAGGTTCAATTCCCAGCATCCCATATGGTCCCCCGAACACCGCCAGGAGTAATTCCTGAGTGCATGAGCCAGGAGTAACTTCTGTGCGTTGCTGGATGTGACCCCCCCCCCCCAAAAAAAAAGTATGCAGAGTAATGTCAAAATCACTTTTTTCTTTTAGGTTCCAGACCATGCCCAGGTGTGTGCTCAGTGGTTTCATACCTACAATCAGGAATCACTCCTTGCAGTGCTCAGGGGACCATATAGGATGCCGCAGATCAAACTTGGGCCGGCTGAGTGCAAGCAAGCACCCTACCGCCTTACCGGCTGTACTATGGCTCAGGCTCTTGCCTGAATTAACTTTAGCCACTCTGCAAGAGTCACCCTGCCACCCCCACCCTCTCAGCCACTAAAACTGTTTGCAGGGTGTCAGGGAGACAACTTAAAGAAATGCTTGTGCTAGGCCCCAAGCTGGATACTTGGCAAACACTTCTCTCCCCACCAGCATTGCTGGGCATACCCCTGAGGTCCACAGGCACTGCTAAGCAGCACCCCACTGCTGGCCCAAGAACTAAAATCTCAACCAAGTGTCACTGGGAGTGACACCTGTGCCCCCGGGCACTGCTTGAGAAGCCTTCAAAAAAAATACCGGAAATAAGCAAAGATAGGCAGTAAGAAAAATGTTAAATGTGAAACCTGAAGCAAAGAAATCAAATTTATATCCCACTCACAATAATCTAAATGGTAACAGTAGTCCTTGATTATTGTGAAAATTAAAATGACATGAGAATGTTAAAAGAAAGATAAAGCAGACAGGTTAATAAATGGATGTTACCGTCATTGTAAGGTGAGGATATGAATCTTCCCTGGTTCATTCAACTAGTATTATCTACACTGGTTTCCAATACGAAAGAGTGGAAGATTGGGCTGTGAGCCAACCCAACATTTTAGGTGAATACTCAATGTTTCTAATATATCAAAGAACAAGCATAGGAATATTTTGCCTCAAAAGTACGTATTTATGGGGCTGGAGTGATAGCACAATGGGTAGGGCACTTGCCTTGCACATGACTGACCCTGACATGGGTTCGATCCCCAGCATCCCATATGGTCCCCCGAGCACTGCCAGGAGTAATTCCTGAGTGCAGAGCCAGGAGTAACCCCTGTGCATTGCTGGGTGTGACCCAAAAAGAAAAAAGAAAAAAAAAAAGTTGAATTGTTGAATTGTGCCACCATGCCTTTTTCTGCATCAATGAGATAATTATGTAAGTTATTTTCTTTCATTTTATTAATGTGGTATATTACACTGGCTAATTTTCTGTTGAATTATCCTTGTTTTCCATGAATTAAACTACCACTTGGTCATTATGAGCACCTAGTAAGCATTAATTTAAATCAGTAATTTTGTTAAGGATTTTGCAGTAATTTAAGTGATACTTTTTCTTTTTCTGTGCCAGGATTTAAATCCTTGTGCTCCACTGCTAAAAATACTCCCTGACATAATTTTTCTTGTAGTGATTAGTAGAATTCACCACTGAAAAGCTACTGACTTTCCTATGTTATAAGGCTTTAGATTACTGATTTAGGCTTATTACAATAGGTCTAGTTAGTTTTTCTTTTTCTTCATTATTCTTGGTAAGTTCCATTCTCTATGGATCATAAACACGCATTTTTGTTTTGTTTTGTTGCTTTTTTTGGGTCACACCCGGCGATGTATAGGGGTTACTCCTGGCTCTGCACTCAGGAATTACTCCTGGCGGTACTCAGGGGATCAGCACCTCCAGCCCTTCAACTTTCTCATGACTAGCGTAAATTCCTTGATATAATAAAAATGTATGAAAATCCTACAACTAACACATAATCAATGGTAAAGTTTGAAAGCTTTTCCTCAAAGAGCTTTTCTTCTAAGAACCAAAACAAAGATAGCTGCTTACATTATTTCATTCAACACAGTAAAAAAAAATTACAGAAAGTCTTAAACACAGCAATTATGCAAGAAAAAGAAAAGGTGCCAAAAAACAAAGGAAATTCATACAGAAACAGACTCCAGAAACAACCCAAGTGCCCAAGAACAGATGACTGGATAAATAAACAATGTATATTTACACAATGAAATACTTTTCAGTCATTAGGGAAAAAAGTCATGAAATGTGCTTATAAATGAATGGACATGGAGAACATCATGCTGAGTGACATGAGTTAGAGGGAGAGGGACAGATACAGAATGATCACACTCATTTGCAGGTTATGAAAAAGCAGTATGGAGGATATTAAAAATCATTTTGGGAATAGAACCCAAAGACAATAAAATGAGATCCAAGTAGATAGGTCCACGGCAGGAAGTTTGCCATGGAGGGTGGTGGGTGGGGGTGGAGGATATGCAGTTAGGAAAGACAAAGGGACCACTGTGACAATGACAGTTGGTAATGATCACTCTGGACAATATCTGAGTGCTCTAAGGAGGTAAGAGGTACACATGATATCCGTTCAGTAACAGTATTGCAAAACATAGTGCCTGAAAGGAAATAAAAAGGGAAATAGAAGGAAAGTTACTGCCTGAAGGACAGGATTTTGTAGAATTTGTCAGCTCTGATATTAATTCTAAAAACTTAGATCAAAGTTTTCTACCTGTATAACTTACAATGTCACCAATTATCAATGAAGTTCTTTATTTCACGAACTTAGTTTATCTTTTAGAACTCACCAAGTCATCAGGCACAAGGAGACCAAACAGAATACTGTTGATGCACTTTTGCCAAGAAGCATGTCAAATATCCCACTGATTTTATAAAAAACATTTTACTTTGTGAACACCACGGAACAGACCATAGAAATGGGACTCAAAAATGTGAAAGGAAAGTAAGATTTGGGGGGCCAGCGATGAGCTCAAATAGGACTAGAGAGCATGACTTGGTTCTATTCCCAGCCCTACAGGGAATGACCATAGTGGATGTGGATCTTGAGCACCATCCCAACAAACACCAACTAAAGCAGTTTTGGGGTTCCCCAGTCATTCCACAGAGTACCATCAGGTATGGACATCCTAAATAAGAAATAAAGAGGTGCCTTGCATGTGCCCAACCCAATACCACATGGTCCCTGGAGCACACTAGGTGCAGCCCTGGAGTCCCTCCAGCATGGCTGAGGTGGGTAACCGGGTAATTCCAGCAGCACAGAGCCCAAGCAGCACATCTTCAGATCCTCGCGCTGGAACACCGGCCTGCCTGGTCTAGAGTCACTTGAGGGGCCCATGGACTGAGCCTGGGAGACCCCTCAAAAACATAAAAATTAAAAATGTACAGGAGGACTGGAGAGTACAAAAGGCTGGAGCTTATGCTCAGTACGAAGAAGTCCCAGGTTCAATTCCCATCATCCCACAGCCCCCTGAGCATGCCAGGTGTGGTCCAAATGCCCAAAAGATAAAGGATAAAAGATAAAAGAACGCTGAGTACTAATTATATACCAAACCCCAACTAAATATAGTTATCGAGGTTTTTGCAAATTATCATTTACACCATGAGTCATTCACTTCCAACTTACTCAATTTTTTTTTTTTTTACTTACTTGGTCAACTTGTGGTTTTTCATCGCTGTAAGAAATTCTCTGACAATCTCAGGACTTTGGTGTCTGCATGGTGTTTTTGATATGTATTTTAAAGTCTTTAAAAAAAAGGAAAGAAAAAATAAGCATAAGATAAAGAAACTTGAGCGAGAAAAAAGCACTGATGTGAGGTACCCTGCTTCATGCACGCCACCTCTATGGTATGCTTCCCTACACGCTATAATGTCAGTCTACTCATGAGGAATCTGCAGATAAGCAAAATCAAGTGACTGTCTACAACAAAACAACTGACCAGTCAACTTCAGACATGTGATGGTCCTAGAAAACAAGCACTTATTACAGACTGGAATATTATAAACTGTTAGTGTCTTAAATAAATTTAAAGAAAAGTTTTTTTAAAAATTGTATTGTGGATTGAATCCTTGAGCAAAGGAAAAAAATAGGAAATGAGAGAAATCTTTGGTAATATGTGACAATGTTCATTTTTCAAGTTTGATCACTGTACCATCACTGTGGAAGATGTTAATATTTGGGAGACTAAGGAGAATGGTACATGGGATCTCTCCATATATACTATCTTTTCAAATCTTCTGCAACAGCAAATTTACCTCAAAATTTAAAATTTAAAGAATTTAAAGAGGTGGGGCTGGAGCAATAGCACCACAGGTAGAGTGTTTGCCTTGCACGCGGCTGACCTGGGTTCGATTCCCAGCATCCCATATGGTCCCCCGAGCACTGCCAGGAGTGATTCCTGAGTGCAAAGCCAGGTGTAACCCCTGAGCATCACTGGTGTGACCCAAAAAGCAAAAAAAAAAAATAAAAATAAAAATAAAAAAATAAAGAATTTAAAGAGGATACGCCAACTGGACACGATAGAAGAATTTCAAGGTCCCAAACTAAATAGTAACCTCAAGTATCTGAGTCCCGCAAACAAATATCAAACTGGTTTATACTCCTCCAGAACAATGAATATTCGCAGACAAGGTAAAACACATATAGGCCCTTAGAATAAACGTTTAACCCATATCTTCAAGTGAGTTGCCATTCATGTGAAGAACACTAGAAATATATACTCAGATCTAAAAAGCCTCAAAATGTGACAACATTCCTTATGGCACCATGAATTTAAAGCAAGAACTTAATAAAACAGCAGTGAAATAAATTGATTACATAGTTAACAGTACTCAGGCAGAGATAGTGCAGGGATCAAGAAATTTTTTTGCCTTGCAAGCAACCAGCCCCAGGTCTATCCATGGCACCATAAATAGACCCTGAGCACTGCCAGGAATGATCCCTAAACACAGAGCCAGGAGGAAGTCCTGAACACCACTATGTGTGGTCCCCAAACAAAGCAAAAAAATATAAAAATAAAAGAGAACTTAATAGTATGGGGCAGAAGAAAGAACATTAAGGTGCTGCCCCTGCATGCGGTCAACCCCAGTTCAATCGCTAATACTGCATAAGGTATCTCAAGAACCACCAGGAGTGATTCCCTGAGCACAGAGCCTGAGCTTACAGGGGATGGCCCAAGATCCAAAATCAAAATGAAAATGTAACTTTTTATAAGTTATAATTCGTTATAATTATACGTAGGTCGAGAAATCAACATGATGAATGACCTGGCACCTGAGTTATGCAGGAGGAAGAGAACAGCTTGGGATGCCTTCAAGAGCATTGAAGAAATAACTAAAAGGACAAAGAACCTCCAGCTATGAGCACATCTCTTCGATTCCACTGTTCTTCCTGCATTAACATATGCCTCAGAGACCTGGGCCCTACGAAAACAGGATGAAAACGCTATTTGGGTCTCTCAAAGAGGGATCGAAAGAGCTATGCTTGGAGTATCACGCTTCACTCAAATGAGAAATAGAATCCGGAGTTCTGATCTCCGTCAATGCTCAAGAATCAGGGATGCTGTCTCATTTGCCGAGGCATCAAAAATCAGATGGGCTGGACACGTAATGAGGTTTAGAGACGACCGCTGGACTAGAGCCATTACTGACTGGATTCCACGGGATGTCAAAAGATCGCGTGGACATCCACCTACAAGATGGTCAGACTTCTTCGTCAAGACCCTGAATGATCGGTTTGAGGCTCCGCATGTTCCTAGAACGAGCAGATGCCTCTGGGCTACCCTAGCACACAACAGGGATGAATGGAGACGTTACTGGCACCCACTCAAGTAAATCGATGAGTAACGGGGTGTCAAGTGATCAAGTGATGTAATTGTATATAAAATATAAAAATTAGCTTTTATAATTTTCAAAAAGAATTTTTAGTTTTTGTTTTATAGTTTCAAAACTAATTTTATAGTTATATAATTTTAAAAACTAACTATAACTTTATATTTTTGTATTTAAATATTTTATATAATTTTTTCTATTCATGTTTAATACATGAATATTAATATATAAACATTTTTATTATATTAATATGCACAAAAATCAATTATGACAATTATTAAAATAACCATATTATATTAAGTATTAATAAAGTGTTAATGGGCTGGAGCAATAGCACAGTGGGAAGGGCGTTTGCCTTGCAAGCGGCCAACCTGGCCGACCCAAGTTCGATTCCTCTGCCCCTCTCAGAGAGCCCAGCAAGCTACTGAGAGCATCTCCCCCGCATGGCAAAGCCTGGCAAGCTACCCGTGATGTATTCGATATGCCAAACACAGTAAATCAATGAACAACGGGAGGACAGTGCTACAGTGCTACATAGCGTTAATAATGACATATAATATACATCTTATAATGACATATAATTGCAAGTCGTCAAAAAACAGAGTAAAGTTCAGAAAACAGAGGTTCAAGGCAAGGGCCCTAGTATGTGATCCTGAGAATTACTCAGATGATCCCAACAGTGTTCCAGGGATGCCAGGGGTATAACCCAGCGGTGCTCAGGAATCTAACCAGAACTGGCCACAAGCAAGGCACGTGCCTCAGGCGCTGTACTATCTCTCCAGTCTGAATACTGAATATTAACAGTTTTCAGTGAGTTTTTAAATCTTAGGGTGGCCTTGGGCATCCCTGACATACAACTGATATTAGAGTGGAGAGAGTCTTTGACAATTCCTTCTATTACTAACACAGAGCAAATGCCTTCAGTTTTACTGTCACTATCACTGTCCTCCTGTTATTCATTGATTTGCTCAAGCAGGCCCAGTAACGTCTCCGTTTTGAAACTTGTTGTTACTGTGTCTGGCGTATCCAATATGTCAGGGGTAGCTTGCCAGGCTTTGCCATGTGGGCGAGATACTCTCGGCAGCTTGCCGGGCTCTCCGAGGGGGGTGGAGGAATCGAACCTGGCTTGGCCGGGCTGGCTGCGCACAAGGCAAACACCCTACCACCTGTGCTCTCTCTCCAGCCCTTCAGTTTTACAAACAATAAAAACTAGATACTAGGGCCTGAGTAACAGCTGAAGTGGTAGACCACATGCCTAATATGAGTAAGGTCCTGGATTCAATCCTCTGCACCACAAGGCCCCCTCAATGCTAAGACAGCCCTGGAACACCAATTTATCAGGCTGCTACTACTACGCTGAACATCACAAAAGTGGCCCCAGACACACCAGCACCAATGGGGATGACACCTATTTTTAACACAGGTTCACAGATGGTCCAGCCTTTCTGGAAAACAATATGGACATTCCTGAAAGTCTAGGCATTAAGATTCCACTTGACCCAGCAATCCAACTTCTTGGAATATACCCCAACGACCCAAGAACAAAATGGAGAAAAGACATTTGCACCTGATGTTTTCTGCAACACTATCCACAACAGCCAAAATCTGGAAATAACCCCAGTGTCCAAGAGTAGATGACTGGATGGAGAAAGGATGGTACATACACACAATGGAATAAATCATGCAATTTACTGCTACATGGATGCATCTGGAAATTATCATGCTGAGTCTAGTTATTCAAAGGGAGAGAGAGCAACACAGAATGATCGCTCTCATATGCAGGATATAAAGAAACATAATGGTGAAATAACAAATGCCCAAAGTCAATGGAAACAAAGAACATGAGAACTGGTATTTGATAGGAAACATGACACTTGAGGGGGCTAGGGCATAGGACAGGGAGGGGGCCACCAGAGGAGGGATGATGAATGGTGGGAAGTGTCATACAGGAAACCTATCAGTAATAGTACTGTAAACCACAGTGCAAAACCTTACCAAAAAAGCGCCTCTTATAGAGGCAAAACTGGTGGTGGGGAGAGAGGAAAGAGGGAGGACGTTTGTGGAGGGAAGTGGACACTAGTGAAGGGACTGGTGTTAAAACACGACGTGCCTGAAATCCAATCACGAATAACTTTGTAATTGCACAGTGAGTAAATTTTAAAAGTAAATAAATAAAAAGGGTCAGAGTAAAACTATCCAAATTAGGTAAGAAATTGTCAGTGATCTATATCATTTTGATGTTTTTGCTAATTGTTTCCCAAAAATGTACTTTGAAATCAGAACCACTTTTCATTTTCATACAATTCTCCTAATGCTTTTCATCACACACTAGGGATCAGAAATGAGATGTGATTTCCCAACCCTTGCCTGCAAGTCCTGAGTAGGACCTTACTGTAAGTTGAAAGGAATTTCACCCTAATTCCTGGATTGCGTAAGAATGAACTGCTGGTGGGTTTGTCTGATTGTAGACAGGTTGTGGCTGGTGGATCTGAAGGCAAATTATAATGCTTAACAAAAATCTCTTTAGTTAAAAGAAAAAGAAAAATAAAGAAAAGAAAGAAATTTTCACTAATCAGCAGAACAGCTGCCTCCCCGCCACCCATGGTGGGTAGGACCTCCCCCCCCCCGCCCATGGTGGGTAGGACCCTCTAGAAGCCTAGGCTTACTTCATAGGTGATAGTATTCAAGTTCTGTTGTCCAGAACTGTGTTTATTCTTCCCACTTTCTTTACGCTGCTCTTTGAGATCAGTGAGTAACTGGAAGACCTAGGAAGAGATATACAAAAGATTATTACACATGAATTTGAGAAATGTAATCTATACCAAGGTGTATTTTAAGGATAAATCCAATGCTAATTATTTTCTCTCTTGCAGTCATTAGAGCAAATGTGCATCTAAGAAGTCCAAAAACCTGACCTTGCTTTGAGGACAGGGGATGGGGGGATTTAGGCCATGCCAGAGATGCTCAAGGGTTACTGCTAGCTCTATACTCAGGAATCACTCCTGGTAGAGCTCAGGGGACCATGTGGAATTCTGGGGATCAACCGAGCCAACCACATGCAAGGAAAGTGTCCTACCCACTGCACTATCTCTCCAGCCCCAGAAGAACCTAACATTTAAAACATGCTTTAAGCCAAATAATCAAATGCTTTAATTTACATATAATATATAACATATCACTGATTTCATCTAATTTTAAAACTACACTGAATAACAGTAGCTACCCATGACGTATTCTATACGCCAAACACAGTAACAACAAGTCTCACAATGTTACTGGGCCTGCTCGAGCAAATCAATGAACAACGGGAGGACAGTGACAAGGACAGTGACAGTGACTGAATAACAGAATTTATTTATGTAAAATCTTAGAGAAAAATGAATAAAATATGCTTTCCCAGTGGGGGGGGAGAGGGAGGAAGGGTGGGGTAGAAAGGTAACTACTGCTAAAGAATCTATGATAAACTTTCCACAACGGAAAAAGTTTGTAGTAATACTAAGAAAGACATTTTTTAAAAATTTTATTTATTATTTATTTATTTTTGCTTTTTGGATCACACCTGGTGATAGACAGGGGTTACTCCTGGTTCACACACTCAGTAATTACTCCTGGCGGTGCTCTGGGGGCCATATGGGATGCTGGGAATGGAACCCAGGTCAGCCGCATGCAAGGCAAACGCCCTACCCGCTGTGCTATCTCTCCAGCCCCCAGAAAGACATTTCTTATTCTATTTCAGAGATTATACTAGAGAATTAGGGGACATTTAGGCTCATAGACCATTATTAAAAACAATACAACAACTCCACTATCATTCCTTCAAGAAATAGTGGCATAATCTCCAACAAATGCAGTATTTCATTCCAAACATTAGCAGAATTTAAACAGGATAAGAATGTTTCTGAAAGCTCATCAACAAACATTTCTTTCTTGGTATGAGCAGAAATCATGTAGGATAAACTTTTAGGTAGACAAGTATAAAGAAAACTGTGATAATTCAAACATGTATGTATCATACATTTAAAACCAATCTTTAAATTTTAACTAAAATTTTGTCCTTAAACTCCTGAAACACTGAAAGTGAATGTATAAATGGTATTTCTCCATCTGAAATTAACCTATCATATATTTTGCTAGCACCAAAAAAATAACCAGTAAAATATAAGTTTGGCAAAAAAACGTTAACCTATAACAAATCTCTCTTCTCACCACAGTAAACTCCCCAGCCTAAAGACCTAAATATCCAAATCTTTTAGCTCCTACTACATTATTCAAAATATTATTCAACTAAACTCTCACTTTCAAAACTTGGGTTTTAGTATCAATCAGACTATTATTAGGAATAAGTTAAAAATATCTTATAAGTAAATAGTGATAATTAAGAAAAAGTCCCCATAATTTTAATAGAAGACATTTGCACACAGAAACAATTCAAAAATAGATGCTCCATCCAATGAAGGCATTGCAAATCTTGGGAGCTTTAGGATTTTAGAGAGCTGAAAAGATAGTACAGGGATTAAGGTCTTGCATGTAGCCAAATCCAGTTTAATTCTTTCCATGGCATATTCTCCCTTAAGCACTGTCGATGCGGTGCCAAACCTACCCCCAACATCACCAAAATCGCTGAGATCTTGAGAAGGCTGCCTACAGCAAATTAAAGTTTTTTCAGCTTCCTGAATTACAATATAAATGACCAAATTTAAATACTCTAGGGTCTACCAGATGGTGCCATCTGTCCTGTTTTAAAGACGGAAATCATAATAAATTCAGTTATTTCTAACCAAATCTAATTCAACAGTCTCCAGAAGCAAAGGACAAATTACCAGAGCGAAAAACAGTCTCCTTTGAAGCTACGTACCTCATAGTTACTGAGCAGTGCAGAATTGGCATCCTTTCTGCAAACGAAAAGAAAATTATCAGTTTGGATTCACTTACTTTTGTGGGAATCAAATCTCTGACTGAAACAATTTCAGTCAAGATTCGGCAGTCCAGTTAAGGAGCTTAGGACTACACCCCAAAACTGAGAAATATTCTAAGTCCTACTAATTTTACGTGGCAGTGGAATTACCGAAGAAATCTACTCTTCTAGGGAGGCTGGTGTGGGGGAAACACCCAGCAGTGCTCAAAGGTTATTCTTGGCTTCTGGCAGTTCAGGGAAACCAGGTACTGTGTCAAAGATCAAACTAGGGTCTGCTGCATGCAAGGCAAGCACCTTAATCCCCACACTATCTCCCCAGCCACAGTCTAGTCATATAGACATGGGTAGACATGGCTGTATAAATTTTTAAATATTATTCTTATCCCTGGGCTGGAGCGATAGCACAGCAGGTAGGGTATTTGCCTTGCACATAGCCAATCTTGCACACAGCCAACCTGGAATCGATTCCTCTGTCCCTCTTGGAGAGCCCGGCAAGCTACCGAGAGTATCCCGCCTGCACGGCAGAGCCTGGCAAGCTCCCCATGACGTATTTGATATGCCAAAAACAGTAACAACAAGTCTCACAATGGAGAAGTTATTGGTGCTCGCTTAAGCAAATCAATGAACAACGGGAGTACGGTGCTACAGTGCTGTTCTTATCCCTAATACATGTAAGCAAAATAAGAAAAATCAGACACACCAGGGAAGAGTTAATCATAAGAACAGAACCCCCAGCAGCCACTTGCTTCCACAAACCAATACTGCCACCATACCCCCAGCCTGACTCCACTGTCTCACAGCAGACCTCACTAAGATATAATCTGTTGAAAATTCTGGTATGCGGGTTTTGTGACTGAAATCTCCAGGCTTTCTCGGAGTTGGGATGGGCTACCTCCCCCCATTTCCCAACACTCATGGAAGCACTGGCAGTCACCCCCACGAACCAACTCCAGCACCACCCTGTGTGCTCTACTACCAGACTTGCTTCAGAAACCCTAAGTAAATCTCAACAGAGATCAAAAGCCGCTGTTAAGCTCAGATCCACGCATGATGAACAGACTGGGGTAAATCGGAGAGGGGCAGGTTGGCCTGTGCCTGCCCAAGCAGAGCCCCCAGCAGCCGCTTGCTTCCACAGTCCAAAACTGCTGCCATGCCCCAGCCTGACTCCACCATCTCAGGACAGACCTCACCAAGGCAAAATCTGCTGAAAATTTTGGCATGTGGTTTTTGTGACTGAAATCTCCAGGCTTTCTCAGGGTTGGGATAAGTTACCTCTCCCCACCTCTCTATACTTCCAGAAGTCTCGGCAGTCACATCCACAACCTAAAGCTTCTACCCAACTGAAAAGCTACTCCAGTCTTACCATCCCAATAAAAATACCAAATGTCCTGAACAAACACATATGTAGCACCTGAATTGCCAACCATAATGCATAAAAGGAAAAGGAGAGCGAGCAAGATGAAAAGTGCCTCCCATAGAGGGAGGTGGTGGGGGGTTGGGGATCACTTGTGTCACTTGTCATCCTGTTGATCTTTGATTTGCTTGAGCAGGCGCCAGTAACATCCCCATTCTTCCCTGTCATGTGCTAGTGTAGCCCAATGGCATCTGCTCGCTCCAGGAACACGAAGAGCCTCAAACTGTTTGTTCAGGGCTTTTACGAAGAAGTCTGACCATCTCGTAGTGGGCAGCCAAATATCTTTTTGACGTCCCATGGAATCCAGTCAGTAATAGCTCTAGTCCAGCAGTCATCTCTAAATCAAATTACGTGTCCGGCCCATCAGATTTTAGATGCCTTGGCAAATGAGACAGTGTCCCATATTCTTGACCATCAACAGAGGTCAGAACTCTGGATTCCTTCTCTCACTTGAGTGAAATGTGATATTCTAAACATAGCTCTTTTTATTCCTCTTTGGGATACCCGAATAGTGTTCTCGTCCTGTTATTGTAAGGCCCAGGTCTCTGAGGTGTATGTTAGTGCAGGAAGAACGGTGGAGTAGAAAAGATGTGCCAAGAGCCAGAGGTTTTTCATCGTCTTAACAACTTCTTCGACGCTCTTAAAGGTGTCCCACGCCACTGTCTTCCTCCTGCACAGTTCTGGCGCTCTCGTCCTCCTGCGCAGTTCTGGCACCAAGTTGTTCCTAATGTTGAGTTTTCGACCCAGGTACACATAGCTGCTGCATTCAGAGATGTTTGTTTCGTTGAGCGCAAATGGAACGTCAGGGACTAGTTCATTTTTCATGAACATTGTCTTGGTGAGATTCAGCTGCAGTTTGACCTTTCCACACTCACGGTTGAAGTCGGCCAGAATTTGTGCTGCTTGGCTAATGTTTGGTGTTATTAGAACAACCTCATCAGTGAAGCAGAGGTGGTGTAGTTGCCGACTATCTATTTTCACTCCCATTTCTTCCCATTCCAGTCATCGCATGACGTTCTCGAGGGTGGCACTAAAGAGTTTCGGTGAAATGGTATCACCCTGCCAAACCCCTCTCTTTACGTTGATGATCACTTCCTTGTAGAATGGTGAGATCCTGGAGATGAATCTGTAATACAGCTAGAGGAAGATCCTGATGTAGTGAGTTTGAATGCCCTATTTGACTAGAGCTTCGATGACCGCTTCAGTCTCAACAGAATCAAAGGCCTTCTTTAACTTGATGAATATTCAACAGAGCGGCATCCTGAACTCTCAAGAAACCTCGAAGAGCTTGGTCACTGCGTGGATATGGGGGTTGGAGATGGTGGTGGGGAAAAAGGGGACATTGGTGGTGGGAAATGTACACTGGTGGAGGGAAGGGTGCTGGAACATTGTATGACTGAAACCCAATTATAAACAGCTTTGTAATGGTCTATCTCACGGATATCCAATTTAAAAAAATTTTTTAAGAAAAGTGATGTGGAGTGGGACTTGAGCAATAGCACAGAGGGTAGGGTGTTTGCCTTGCACACGGCCAACCCGGGTTCGATTCCCAGCATCCCATATGGTCCCCTGAGCACCGCCAGGAGTAATTACTGAGTGCAGAGCCAGGAGTAACCCCTGTGCAACACCGGGTGTGACCCAAAATGCAAAAAAAAAAAAAAAGTAATATGGAGTTCATGCACAATTCAATCAGCTTAATCGATGGCTGTATAAATAGCAGTACTCCTACATTTAAGAAAGAAAGAAAGAAAAAAGAAAGAAAGAAAGAAAGAAAGAAAGAGAAAAGAACCCCCCACAATCCACACTGAGCCTCAAAAATCACAAACCAGAAAAAGCAAGAAGTCACTGGAAGAGTACCCACTGGTAGGAAAGGCAAAAAGCAACACTCAGCCTGAGAACAGAGGACTGGTTAAAGAAACTTTGGTACATTTACACAATGGAGTACTATGTAGCTGTTAGAAAAGAGAAGTCACGAAATTTACAAACAAGTGGTACTACATGGAAAATATCATGTTTAGCGAAATGATTCAGAAAGAAAGGGATAGACATAGAAAGACTGCATTCATCTGGGGAACATAAAGTAACAAAATAGGATACTAACACCCTAGAGTGGCCGAGATTAGTACCAGGAATTTTACTCCATGGCTTGGAGGCCAGCCACACATGCTAATGGAAAAGGGAGCTCAGACAGAGAAGGGAACACCAAATAAAGGTGATGGGAGGATCCTCCCAGGATGGGAGAAGCATGCGGAAAGTAGACTATAGACTAAACATGATTGTCACTCAATGCCTCTTTTGCAAACCACAACACCCAATAATAAGAGAGAGAGAACAAAAGGGAATGCCCTGCCACAGAGGCAGGGTGGGATGTGGGGAATGAGGGGTGAGACAGATACTGGGATCCGTGGTGGTGGGAAATGGGCACCGGTGGAGGGATGGGTATTTGATCATTGTATAATTGAAACCCAAGCACAAAAATGTGTAAGTCTGCAACTGTACCTCACGATGACTCACTATTAAAAAATTTTCTAATAAAAAAAAAAAAAGCAACACTCAGCCTATTCCATCCTAAAGCTCCCGTGGGGCAAACTCCATAGACTCACCCCCAGGATACAGCGGATACACCTTGGTCCGCATTACACATTTTTAAACTAGGAGTTGGACTGACACAAATAAGAACAAATTTTTAAAAACATGGACAAATTAGATAGGCAATTTACCCAAATAATCACTGTCACTGCCCTCCCATTGTTCATCGATTTTCTCGAGCGGGCCCAGAAACATCTCTATTGTGAGACTTGTTACTGTGTTTGGCATATCCAATACGTCACGGGTAGCTTGCCAGGCTTTGCCGTGCGAGTGAGATACTCTCGGTAGCTTGCCGGATTCTCTGAGAGGGGCAGAGGAATCAAACTCGGGTTGGCCACACAGGCCGCATGCAAGGCAAACGCCCTACCGCTGTGCTATTGCTCTAACCCACCCAAATAATAAATGAAGCAAAACATCTAAGTGATTAACACAAGAACTCAACCTAAAGCCTGAGGTCAAAAGACTATGAAGTCAGCACTACAATCAAATCAACATTTGAAGTTTATCAAATGCAATAACAGCAGGGAGTCCACAAAGTGCAGCTTAATCCAAATGCATTTACTCACAAAAATATCAAATTTGAAAGAAATCTAACACGGAAAGAATGATGTGTGATTAGTATATGTAACATCATTCATTTGAAATATTATGCAACAAATCAAATCACATGTCATCTCTGCCTACTTAATCAGGAAGTCAGCTCACAAAGCATCCTATTTTTGCCTGAAATTAACTGAGTTACAACTCCCTATTTTCCTAAATATACTGCAATTAAGAAATTCAAACCCAACCAAGAAAAAAATACAAATGTGATTTTACTTCAAAATAACCCCAAGGCCACCAGTGTCATCCCATTGTTACCATTCATTTCCACAGGGCTTCTCTATCATGCAGAGTATCCCATGCCCTGGGAAATTTGACCTTGGCTCTTCCTAGTCATTGCCCCATTATCTAGGTCAATATTGTTAATGCAA